GTATTCAGTAAGTTCACGTGCTGCTCACATGCTTGTTGCAAATTCAATTTCCAGTCCATACATTGCGACTTAGACCTCATCAGTAAATTAGCATATCCTCTATTTACGTGGTAGCAACTAGCAATAATTTAAGCGAGCTATTAAAAAACAAAATATGTGTATAAATTAGATGAATTTCTACTAATCGGTTAGAAGATGTGTTCCAATAGGTATACCAATTTATTTTCTGCAGGGTGAAAATCTTTGTTAATATCCCTAAACATATACGTAACAAGAAAAATCATATAACATGATTTTTAATTGATTACTTGTATTTGAAATATCTAGTGTTCATAAACAACAAATACAAATTTAGTAAACGAACAATAGTTCAAGATTCAAATAATACTAAGAATACCAAGTTGACTGGCGACTGAAAGTTGCTCAGAATTCTACATTCGAGGAACATTATGGAGGCCAAAAATGACAAAAACTTCCTTTACACCATTGTGACTGGTGATGAAACGTGGTGTTTCCAATATGATCCAAAAACCAAGCGCCAAAGTGCCGAGTGGAAGGCACCAGATGAACTAAAACTCAAAAAATCTAGTTTAGAGAAGACAAAGTGAAACAATGTTGATTTGCTTTAACGATTCCACTTCCACCAGTGCAAACCGTTAATGAGCAATTCTATATTGGCATATTCAAGCATTTGATGCACCGTATTCGTCGTATTCAGCTAGACTATTGCACAAAACGCAAAAGAAAGTTCAGGTTTGTTGCATGTACTGCCGTCTCATCGATCGACATTTGTGACTTTAACTGTCAACTGTTTCCCATTTTCATCTGATTTGACACCGTGCTACTTATATCTTTTCGGAAAGCGTTTTGTGGACGTAGAAGCCATCTAAAACACTCATTCCACATGCTTTTAGACCGTTCAAATTACTGTATTGAGGCGGAAGGGGACTATTTTGAATAAAATAAACCTGCTTTGCCAAAAACCTTTTTATTTTCCTTAATATTAAAAAGTCCTGTTTACTTTGTAACTCCCTTTATATGGTTTCACAACGATATTATTAATAATAATAGCCCATAAATAAGCAGTCTTTTGATAAAATAGATCAAGACAGTTTCCAGAACGTCGAGCAATGTTATGGTGAAAATGTAAAAAAGAAAATTACGAAATTACCAACATACTGGCGTTGATAATAATAATAATTATTATTATGTAACGTCAAATGTGACACGGAGGAAATAAAGGCTGGAGGTTTAAAAAGCTAAAGGTGTATCATGCTCTCTTATAAATTTGTGCTGTAAATTTTTTTATGTTTTGGACCAATTTTCAAGACCAAGGTACAAGATCATGACCGTTACTCCAAAATCATGATAAATAAATAGTAGATATTTTGACTGGATCGTGATGTAACCTTCAACTGATAATTTTTAAGTTATGTCCATCCTTTAAATGGATGTAAAAGTTATAAACATTCATTATTTAACGGCAAACAATTTGTTTTTTAAACTTTCTTGGCATAATTTTCATTTTCTAGGATCATCAATTAAAAATACCTGAATTATTGGTCTATCTAATTAAAATGTTTATTTTATTACTGCGTTGATACTTAAGGAGTGATGTATTTATTAATAAAGCTGCCAGAACTGAGCCGCGGGACATGGGCGTACGCATTATTTATTAAAAAGCAACAAATTACATTGTCTATAATACACCACCATAAACACCAATGGATAGGAATTAATTATACAACATCCGCATGATAACAAAGACAACAGTATACTAATGTGACTTGAACGTGAAAAATATTGAGGTAGCGGCTGAATCATGTCTCGGTTGACCCGCTTGGCACGCCATTGAATTGCGGCTCTCTTTGACAGCCCTATTTATTAATCATTTTTTATTATATGAATGTAAAATTGAACTGAAACTATTTTACAAGACCGCTAAAAGGTGAATTATACAGAGAAAAAATAATTTAATGGTAAAAATAAAATTATACGCTACAGAAACATTTTTAACAACATAAAAATTTAGAAAGGCATAATACCGACGTAATAGGAATATAACTTACTTGTTATGCATAGTACAAGTATAATATTAAAATTCAAAGTGAACTTATTTGCTGCAAAAGAGACCAACGTATCTATGGATTGCATTCCCAAATAAGCGCTTCATTGCCGACTAATTCCATATTGCCGAACTTTCCGAATAGAACTTCAATTAAACGATGACCCGCTAGTAAGGAATTCAGTGCTTTAGGCTGGTAACAACAAGGTTTGCCCTTGATTAAATTCGTGAATGGATTTGACATCACTTTTGCAATGAAATCGATCAAACAGTGGCACGTAATGCCATATGAAGTCATGGGCGAATCTTTTTACAGAAGGCCCGTACGTGTCCATTTTGCCTAAAGAATAACACGTTCCACATTTTTTTTTATCTATTTGAAGCATAGTTCGAAGTATGTAAACATTTCATAAAGTAATACCTCGTTATAATACTGTGGTTACGGCGAGTGAAACGATCTCGAATAAGAATTTCTGCTCGAATTTATTCTAAGTACAATATCAATTTAAATCACAATGAATTACTGGTATAATAAAGCAAATTCATTAGTTATTTTACACATAGCAAATGTTTACATGTTCAATTGAAACTAGGTTTATTGATAAGAAGTTTATACAAATTTAGTTAGTTTATCATTTTAAATAAGAAAATTATAATATATTTGACTTTTCATCATTGAAGATGAAAATAACATTTTCGGCTTAAGAGAGAAAAAGTTACTTACTATGACGAAACTGTCTTAAGAATATCAACTTTTGCATATATGAGTAGAAAAAAAATAAATTCATAAAAAAAAGTTAAACTTGAAACGATGGTGATGAAGAAGTTTTGAAGTGTTCATCATATAACGAATTACTTTGATTAAAAAGGAATATATATCAGAGTCATCAGTGATTTACTGTGTATTAGTTACTTCATTTATGGTTTATTGGGGATTGTGCAAACGTTGAAATTAAAAGTTCTTAAAAACTATACTTAATTGTAAATTTCAATTTATATTTTAAACTTCCAGATAAGATGTATGGATTGAAATCTAGAAAACCAACCTGCTCCAGCGTTTATTTTCTTAATTTTTATTTAGAAATGCTTAATTCTTATACTTAAGGGTTCAGAAGTCCAAGATGGCTCCTACTAACTGAAAATCATCGAAATTTGAATGCCTAATGCAAGATTACGAATTAAATTGTCGACAATCAAACCATGTTATCTCATGGTATTGCGCGATTTTGAAGTATAAATAATAAAATAATATAACAACTAAATTTGGCAAATATCGGATGACTTTTTTCAAATTTCGCCGATATTGAGCTTTTAGCGGCCATCTTGGACCCGCCATCTTGGATCCGCCATGTGGAATTGAGCAGGTCTGACTTCGGATTCGTAATGAGCGACCTCAAAACCCCCGTAAAGCAAATTTGGCAAAAATAGGATGATTTTTTTCAAATTTGGAGGATTTTGAGCATTTAGCGGCCATCTTGGATCCGCCATGTTGAATAGAGCGAATCTGACTTCGGATTCATGATCAGCGACCTCAAAAACCCTTGCAAACCAAATTTTGCGAAAATAGGATGATTTTTTCAAATTTCGAGTTTTTAGCCGCCATTCGCCATCTTGAGTTTCATCAAGCTATGAACATTAAATAGCAACAATGTAAGCCCGAAACCAATCGAATCGAACGGTAACTTTTTTTTACAAGGGGGATCGACAAGGAAAATTTTAAGCCCTTGATCGTTCAAATCAGAGCACATGAAAAGTGGAAGGAGCTTTGTTACGGTTAACAAAGAACGTCCCACATATATAATTTTAACCAATGGGAGGTAGTCCAAAAAGTATAATTTGTAATATAAGGTGACATCAAAACTGATGTGTTTCAGCTTTAAAGATGCTTCTCACTATTTTCAAAAATTTCCGAAAAATATATAAAAGATTTAAAAATTCCATGAAATATGGAAATATGAAACCGCGGGATTTCCATTAGAAAAACGCCAGAATGTCACCGAAAACTTATTGTATAAACAATTCCATAATTTATCATGTAAATGTTTAAAGTTTAATAAATTTTTAATGAGTGCTGACGATGTTGTGGATAGAATTCGATGATGAGATTTCTGTAATTTTATTTAAATTACTTTTATGTATTTTTCTGCGTATTTATGTAATTTGTAATTCTCTCTCTCTTCTCTCTCTAATTTTTCTTTATTCATGAGATTATTTTTTGCATATATTTTTCAATAACACTTATTACTGTGTACTTGTAAGAAAATTCTGCGTTTATGCTGTTTGTATTCATTAAGCCGGCTCCAAATGATGTGTTCACTCGCCAAACATTTATCTCACCTAAATATGTCAAGTATTTGCAGATTATTTGTCTAAAATCTAAGTTATATCATCCATAAGATGTGAAAATGTGACATTTGAGAACATGATAAATATCTCTTCAAATATTTATAAACGTTCTACACACGATGTGTGTACTTGCCAATTATCCACATTTCAGGCAGTGTACACTTGCCATTTTATTTTTTTTTATGAATGTAAAGAGAGATACAAACACTTGCTTGATATCTTGATAGTGATGTTCGTATATTGAGGCACAGTAATTTTCTTTGATGTGTTTTACGCCCCTTAGCATCACATTCATTTGTTTAATAGTTCAAACAGTGTCTCGTTTGTATAGGTTTGGCGATTACTTGGCAAGTGAAAATATGCTTTCGAATGTATCGATATCTACACATACACATGATACGATATTCCTTTACGTTTGACAAGTACGTGTAGTCAGGCAAATCTATATACATATTCGCATTCTCTACCATTCAGTCGTCCACACGATGCGGTATTTGTTTACATTTGGCAAGTGACCGTATCGTTTGGAGCCGGCCTTAACAATAAACAATTATATTTCGCCAATTAATACACTTTCTTTTGTTTTCAGACTGACAGCGAAGTAGCATGTGAAGAAGCAGCCCGTCTCACGGTAGAACAACAAGAAGACGAAGACGATGAGGACTACTGCGACTACCACGACCTGCCGCCCCCGCCAGACGGTGGCTACGGCTGGGTCGTGGTGTTCGCCTCCTTCATGTGTAACATGATAGTGGACGGTATAGCCTACACATTCGGGGTGTTCCTTTCCGATATAGTCGATTCCTACGGGGAAACGAAAGGCAAGACCGCGTGGGTGGGTTCCCTGCTCTCAGGAATGTATCTTAGTGCTGGTCCTCTAGTGAGTGCCCTTACGAATAAATTCGGATGTCGTGCTGTGTGTGTGGCGGGTAGTATTATTTCCACTGTGGCTTTTGTGCTGTCGATCTTCAGTCCCACGGTGAACTGGCTGATGTTGACTTACGGTTTCATCGGTGGTTTCGGTTTCGGTTTGATCTACCTACCGGCGGTGGTGTGTGTGGGTTACTACTTCGAAACCAAAAGATCTCTGGCGACTGGGATCGCTGTTTGCGGGTCGGGGGTTGGTACCTGTGTTTTTGCGCCGCTAGCTACGGTCTTGTTGGAGTCTTACGGATGGAGAGGAGCCAACTTGATTTTGGCCGGTTTCATTTTTAACTGTGTTATATTTGGCGCTCTCATGCGTCCACTGGAATACCCTAAAGAAACTGGGGAAACTCCATTGTTGCAGAGGATGGCAGAGGAACGTCGAATACAGATGGAGAGGGGTAGCATAGGCGGCTCGTACTTTATGGTGCAACTTCCTGATGGCACTATGGAGAGGAGGCAGAAGCAACCGTTAAACATTGATCCAGGCGTCCATTCCAGCTTAAACTTGGATCAGCTTGCTCCGGGCACACCAATAACTCCGATTCCAACAGTGCCAACCCTGCCAACCATCACCGAAGTTAAAATTACTGAACAAAGCGGTAGTTCGGGAACACCTAGTCCAAGAGATAGCACTCAAGAAATCAGAGTAAAGAATCCCCGTCTGGAAACTATACAGCAAGAAGGACGCATCCGTAGAGATTCCGACCATACGGCTGAACTGAACAGCCAGAATGCGAAAATAATTATGCCAAGAAATGCTAGTCAGCCGGCCTTCAGTACACACGTGCAAGGCCTGCCTAAAAATGGTTCCGTACCAACATTTGATAGAATAAGAAAAACGTCCTTTGGCGAAAGATTTAGGCCGACGCTGGGTCCTATCAAGTCTTCTTCGCGAGGCAATGTTACCAACTCTAATGGAGATATGAGACGAAGGAGGAACGATTCCACTGGATCCTTCATGACGAGAAACAATAATAGCGATGTGAGTATATACATTACTGAAAATTTGCTTAATTAAAATACTGGTGAAACCGATTTACCTAGCATATGTCAATATATATTTACATTTGATATAGTCAAGTGTGGATTAGGCCTTATGTATTCTAGGACTTAAATTATATCTTTGATATAACAAGATGTAGTGATGTTTTATCAGTTAACAATTAATTCATCAAAAGTTACTACATACATCTAAAGAATAATTTCTACTAAGTGCAGTGGAAAAATTATGATAATATATATTCTATAAATTCTAAATTTTTTCAACAATCATGTCGCGTTAGAAAATAGAGGTTTTACAAGTTTCTAGCTGTTTCTAGATCTTTTAATTCGGAAGAAGAGAGCCCCTTTGTACAATGTCGTATTTAGAAAAATCTGAATTTCAAGTGAACGAAACGTTCGCACTATTCCAAGAGATGTAACACGATTGCTTTTTCACAATTGTAACCCTGGCAGATGGGATTCTCTCCTAATTTTATATTATACGAGTAGATTTACTCTTTCAATCACTATCCTATTAAAAGATCTGATTTTGCTCATACTTAGTATCTTTCTGGGAAATAGTAATCATTTCCTTCATATGAATCAATTCAGGTCTTGAGTCCCTCTATTCAAAATGTATTTCTTTCTTCCATCTAGCTAATTAAAACATGTTTAGTGGCAATTATCTCTTCTATCATTGTCTTTCAAATTCTAACACCTAACACCACCTGACCATGTTAAGCACAACCTGTTTGAATCCACTCTTCTATAAATTTTTCGTCGTATTCGCATTTTATGGCAAAAACGGGGTAAATTCTGAGAACGGTGTTATAGCTCGAGTTTCTGTCACTAATTTTTAGTTAAACTCAGCAAAAAAATTAAGAAAGCAGAAAAATTTCCAAATTTATTTAATGATTTTTGAAAGGCTGCAAAACATACCAAAAGACCCCTGAAGAGGATTGATTCATGATAAAAAAAAAGGTGACTTTTCACTTAATAACCGGTATCTCAATGGGAAATAATCGTAGAGAAAATTTTTAAAAAATGAAGCCGAGGAAACAGGCTAAATGATCCTGGCATTGATTAATCCATAAAATATTCTGAGCCCATGGGCAGTTGAAAAAAAAATTGGAAAATTTTTGCCTTGTATTATTTCTTCTGATTGCGCCGAAAGTGGTGCTCAAAAAAGTTTTTCATCTCAAAATTTCATAACTAGAATCTTCAAGCTTCAAGATGCTTCTTTTTCTTTCTCGATACGACCATTATTCACAAAGTTACAGCCTTTCAAAAATCACTAAAAAAATTTGGAAATTTAATTTTTGTTTACCGAGTGTATATTTTCGCATCACTTGATGGCTAAGGTGCTTTGGTATTTCTTTCTCAGATTTGTTTTGATTCCACTGAAAAGGAACTTTTAGTTGTGAGACGTTTTTTTCGATTTGTTCTTTTTTTATATTTTCAACCGTTTTCACATTTCCGATATTCTCGGTCTTGACATAAGAAAAACGGATGGATTTAGAGAAGTGTTTATAGTAGGATCATATTCGATTGCAAAGTAATAAATCATTGCCTGTCAAGGGATCCAGTGCCATACGTTTTTAAGGGTTTTAGAAATTGAATAATTTCTTTATACATTATGAATGGACGAAGGGATCAGTTCACGTCTGGCACCCTTGTTCCTACAAAAAATCCTTTATTCTCATAAACAATTTATTTTAAATGTAATTTATTATAAATCCAATTTGTGTTTTAATTTCGACATATGTACTACATTTTACCTCTGTACGCGCCACTGTTGTTTACTTGTTTTTTGGAAGCGCTCTCTATTTTACGATCAAGCTCGCCAAGTTACTATTTGACGTATAACCGACCACTTCGTACACTCGATGCACCTGGGCGACTACAGCTACTACCAGAACACAGTGCGTATGCAGCGGTATTTCAGATTTAACATTCAATTTCATTTTAAATTTGAAATGGTTCATCTTACGCCTCCTAAAAATGATAACACGATATTCCTTTGATAAAAGACCGACAGTTTTTTGCTCTACTTTGCATCGAATACGATCCTACTATAGTCGAACCTCATTTTTTATATTTTATTTATATGTTTATTTAGATGTACTTGCATAGATGAGTTGTGTCTGGTACAGCAATTTTGTAACATATTCCGAGAAAAATTACAAACCATTACTGTGTAGCACTGCCGATCTATTGATTTTAAGTTAATGTTATGTTCCAATTAACATTATCCAATGCAAATATGATTAAGGTTTCTGAAGTTTTCAACAAATAAATTAGCTGGAAAATCGGATCAGTTTAAAATCACTAGTTCTGATATTTTATCAGTACCTGTCAATGAGTATAGATAAAGTTTACAAATACTGCAGTTTGAGTTAATACTATAGATTTATTCGTGTATCAATTTGAGAAATCAAAATATCTTAGTGTTATTAAAAAGCTGTTTAAAATACAGAAATAGAATCCAGCGTTCCATAAAATAACAAAGTTTATAACTCCCGATATAATCGGAATTTAAAAATATTTTGTAACGAATTTTTGAAGCAAATTACCTACAAGTAGGTATGACAAAGTTATAATTATCGTACTTGCTCGTAAAAATTTAAATATTTTTATTTAAGTACAGAGGAACAATCTTTACTTCATAGCTCAGTAAAAGGTTTAATATTTGAAACTGTTCTAAATTCATATGATCACATATTACGTTTTTTACGACGCTTTTATAAGCCGTTAAATTTGCATAGTAACTTGCACCGTTTCCGAAATTATTCATTGTTCTACAGTTTTCCCGATTGAGTGTGATAATTGCACCACTTTCTTTGGTCAGCGCGATAATTAAAAATATATTTAATGACACTATATTCAGGACAAGTCGGGTTAGGTACATTATACAGTGTGGACCATTTTGGTAATGCATGTATGGGTACCTTGGAAGCTATAAGAGATAGGATAATGGTTTTAGACAGTTCTGTCGCTAACTTAATGGCGCTTTCAGATCGGTTCTAGCTCTCCAGGTTTTTGAGTTATTTTGAAAAAGTAAATGTGGCGTTTTCGAAAATCGTCTAACTTTTTTATTTAGAGCAATTTAAAATCTGAAAACACTGTCAGAGCTCGTTTTCTCGAGGAATATCACTATATTTAGATTTCTATTGCGACATTTCGATTGCGAGAAACCATCATTCTGATGGGCGCCATATTGAATTTTAAGCTGAGCAAATAGAGCCGTGGCTTTCCAGTGACCCTTATAATATAAGAAAAACAAATTAAAAACGTCAAAATCAATATTTTAATTTTTTTAATATATCTGTCAACACCGCATATTTTTTCGAAACTGTTATACCTGTAGAATAGTCTCAAATTTTTCTAAAAGCTTATCACTAATGTCATGGCGTTGAGTGTAAAAATGATAGTAATGGCGACATGTTTACGAAGAAAAGCCCTATTAGTAGTAGTCTATGAATTTCCATGAGAATTGTCAAAAATCGGCCACACAATACGTTCGATGACAAATTATTAATTTCCAATAGAGAAAACATATCATGGTCACCAGATATTATCACCTGGATTTCTTCCTCTGAGGGTACCTATGTGAAAAATCTAATTGATGAATTCGAAGCTCCCCAAACTGTGAAAATTCTGGAAGAAAGAGCTCGACAAGTATTTGCAAAATATTAATAGGAATATCATTCAGCGAGTGACAAATAATATTTTACAAAGGTGTCTTTCTTGCATACCTAAAAATGGACAACATTTCGAATAATAATCCCGATATGTATTTCTCTATTACATAGTTGATGATATTGGGTTGTTGTTGAAATAATCTATTATTTGATTGCCCCAGTTATTATTATCTCTTTCATAGTTCTTAGCATGTAGCTTTCAAAACTTCCAAACTTTCTCAAATTTCTAATAAGTTTAGAAAAATACATTTTATTTGGTGGTTGTCTTTCGGGATAATTGCCAATACGACTTGTTTAAAGCCACAGTTGCTGTTCTATTATTTTTCTTCATTGGGATAATGCAAAGTGTAATATTTTCGCAACGCCATGACATTAATTTTAAGCTTTTACAAAAATTTGAGACTATATTATAATAACTTCGAAATATTACGGGATGTTGCCAGATTTAGTAGAAATATTAAAATATTGATTTTGAGGTTGTTTTTGAAATTTTTTCTTACTTATATTATATCAGTGAAAAGCCAAAAAAATACTCTATTTGCTTAGCTTGAAATTCAATATGGTGCCCATAAGAAAAAGAAAGTTGATGATGGTTTCTCGCAACCGAAACATCGCAATGAAAATCTAAATATAGTGAAACTCCTCGAAAAAACTTGGTGTGAAAAAGTGTTTTCAGATTTAAAAAACTCCTCTAAATAAAAAAGTAACGGGCGATTTTCGAAAACGCGACATTTTACTTTTTTCAAAATAACTCAAAAACCTGAAGAGCTAGGATTGGTCTGCATGTGCCACTAAGTTAGCAACAGAACTGTCTAAAACTTTCCCCATCTAACAATTTTCCTGTCTCTTCTAGTTTCCAAGATACCAATACATGCATCGTCAAAATGGCCCACAATGTGGTCATTTTGCATAATGTTCGGGCATATGATATTTATATCTACTTAATCTGATTGCCCAAAGAATTACAGTTTATCTCTCTGCCTGTGTTTTTTAGTTATTATAGGTATGTACCTACTTACATAGTATCTATTTAATCGTATAACATACATATACAAATAAAAAATTAAATACTCTGAAGTTCCTTATTTCTTTATTTTTAATGATTATATAATGTACAATGAAATGTATATAGGTAATATACATATTAGATGTTTACGTATTAGCACTACGTATAGTATACAAAGTATGTTCAGTCATTTAGGTATTAACATTGTATTTAGTTAGGAAATTTAAAGACAAATACATTTATTGCCAAGTATTATACTTAAGGTTAAGTTTCGTTCCAGTCATTGTACTGTTA